TATTATTTTCTTTTATTATTATTATTATTATTATTATTATTATTATTATTATTATTATTATTATTATTATTATTATTATTATTATTATTATTATTATTATTATTATTATTATTATTATTATTATTATTATTATTATTATTATTATTATTATTATTATTATTATTATTATTATTATTATTATTTTTATTATTTTTTTTTATTTTATTATTATTATTATATTATTATTATTATTATTATTATTATTATTATTATTATTATTATTATTATTATTATTATTATTATTATTATTATTTTTTTATTATTATTATTTTATTATTATTATTAAATTGTCTCCCAGGTCATAGTGACCTGTTGCGATGTTTGTCAAGTGTTGAAATAAAATTATATTATTATTATTAAAAAACTTTTTTTATTATTATTTTTCTCTGTTTTTTTTTCTTCGTTTTAAACTGTTTTTTTTAAACTGTTTTTTCCCACAGGATGTTGTTGCGATGTTTGTCAAGTGTTGAAATAAAAATTATAGAAAAAAATCTTTTCTCTCTTTCGTTTTCGACACACAATCTTTCCTTCTGTTTTATTTTCTGTTTTTCTCGTCTTCCTTTTGCGTACTTTTGCAAATACACATTACACAAATACTAGTTTCCTCTCTCTCGATTTCTTCCTTTTTCTCGCCTCTCTCGTGAACTCTCTCTTTTTCTCGCCTCTCTCGTGAACTCTCTCTTTTTCTCGCCTCTCTCGTGAACTCTCTCTTTTTCTCGCCCATTTTGGGACTCTCTTTTTCCCGTCCTTTCATGAATGTTTTCTTTGTCTCTCCCTTTCGTGAATGCTCTCTGTTTACTTTTTTCATTTCGATTTAATTTCATCTTAGTTACTGTATATATCCATAAAAATCTGTAAACGAAGCAATTAAAGTGGTATTTTCATTTTTACAGCGTTTTCTATTACACCTCACTAATAATTTGATACAGTAATAATTTAACTAAATTAGACAAATGACCGCAAGCTCTGTTCCTTTTTTCTAAAACCTTACAATTTTACAGAATAGGCGTATAAACATGTTGTCATCATTCTCTGATAATTTTGTGAAATTCCATATAGTAGTTTTTGGATAGGTAGGAAAAGTGTTACCTCGTTAATAATTTGAAATATACGCAGTGTATATATATATATATATATATATATATATATATATATATATATATATATATATATATATATATATATAAAAGAAGAAGGTGCCGCAAACGTTTTTAGTTGTAATGTGTATTTATTTAAAAAAAAAAATATTATGCTTTGTTTTACATAATTCTACGACACGTGTTTCTGGTCTGTTTGTGTCTTGGTAAAAGCGAAATTTCCACATCAACACAAAAACAGAGAATTTTTTCTTTTTTAACATTCAAAAATTAAATATTTTAATAATATGAGTAAATTCTCTGTTTGTGTGTTGATGACGGTCTCTCGAGACCAGAAACACGAATGTCGTACAATTATGTAAAACAAAGCATAATATTTTTTCTAAATAAATCCACATTACAACCAAAAACGTTTGCGACACCTCTTTTTTCTTTTTTTTTAATATACATACTTTTCTTTTCTTCTGGAAAATATTTCTTTATATAAATATTTATATATATATATATATATATATATATATATATATATATATATATATCTGTGTGTGTGTGTGTGTGTGTAACAAATGCACGGCCGCAATTTTCGACGGATTTGCACCAAAAGTTACATGAACATGCTCCAAGTTAGCGGGAAAGGCCAAGACTGACGTTGCATTTCCCAACTCCCATCGATAGTGGAAATAATCGATTTTTCCATGCTTCTACGACAGTTTTCATGTAGTTTGCGGCCATTTTGTACTGGTCAGAGTGAGAGCCTATAGGTGGCTGCCACGAATAGGCAGGAAGGTTGTACTGGCCAGTGTGAGAGCCAACAGCTGACTGACACGAATGTTACCTAGCATGCAAAATTCGATAGCTGCATTCGTCACAAGTGGGAAAAATTTAAATCTGCATGGCACTTTACTCCAATTGTCTCATTCGCTTGCTTAAAATCAACGTTGATTCTGATTCCGCAGAACTGGGTTGGGTGTGAAAAAGTATTTGTTGTTAACATTCTTTTTTCATTCGGTTTTTCCAGTTACGAGTCCTTTTTTTAAAGCTGATCGTTTTGTGTTCATTTTGTTTAGTTCTTTTTTCGTAACAGATTTAATGTTTAGTATAGAGCTTAGAAAATATTCGCAGTGTGAGGCAAGAAGTAAGGCATGTAGCAACATCAGCACGGCAATGGGCACTCCTTTAAAGGCAAGGAAGGGCAAAAATATTTTAAGTCAAGTGATAGCGATTGCTGTTTGAGTCGTACGATTTTTGAATCAAGCACGGGCAACGCCGGGCCATGCTGCATATATATATATATATATATATATATATATATATATATATATATATATATATATGCACCTTATCGTCAACAACAAGAATTCACCTGTAAGATCTAAGTTACAGAGGACCAGTATTATTTATGAATTCACATGTCCCTTATGTAAATGCGTTCCTTATCAAACCAAATTCATGAATAATTATATTGGTCATACAACTACATGCCTATCAAGAAGACTCACATTACACCTGTCTGACGTTAGCTCAATCAGGACTCACTTAAACACATACAAATATATATTTAAAAGCATATAGTTTTGCGTACGTAATTTTACCTTAGGCTCGATAAACCTTTGAACGCCTCTCTTGCTACCTGTGTTGTTTTAACTTCTTCGAGGTTTTCCTAATGATTTTTAAATCTATTTTCATTTTCTCTGCACTTTTCAATTAGTGCCAGTAATTAATCATTTCTTTGTTCTCTTGCTTCGCCCGTGTTTCCCTGACATAAATCTTTTTTGAGAGAGAATCAGGAGAAATTCTCTGCGTGTCGACCATTTCTTGTTTTGCATTCCTGCTTGGCCTCTCTCTTATCTTTCAGTCTCTATTCAATTTTCATGAAGTCAATTCCTATTACTTTCCTGCAAATCATCCATATTATTCTCTTGTGTGATTTTCATATCACTACACCCCCAATTTATTACCATAGCTACGTATATCTCCTTCTCTTTAGCACTCTCTCTCTGTCTTTCTAACGACCCGACTCTCGCGTTTCTCTCTATCTATCTTGCTCTCTCTCTCTCTCTCTCTCTCTCTCTCTCTCTCTCTCTCATGCGAGCACTCACTCTGGTGTGTGCGCACTTTCTCTCATGGGCTCTGTCTTGTGCGCTCTCGTGCCCCTCTCTCTCTCTCCTCCCTCTCTCTCGTGCCAGTACCCTTTCCCTTTCATTCTTTACTCTCTCTCTCTCTCTCTCTCTCTCTCTCTCTCCATCGTGCGCTTTCTCGATGTCTCATTTGCTCTCTCTTTCGGCGTGCGTTCTTTTTCTCTCTCTCTCTCTCTTGTGCTTCTCTCTCTCTCTCTCTCGTTCGCTCTCTCTCTTGTGCTTCTCTCTCTCTCTCTCGTTCGCTCTCTCTTTTGTGCTTCTCTCACTCACTCGTTCGCTCTCTCTCTCACACCTCTCTCTCTCTCTCGTGCGGTCTTTTTCCTCTCTCTCTCTCTCTTGTTCGCTCTCTCTCTCACCCCTCTCTCTCTCTCGAGCGTTCTTTCGCTCTCTCTCTCTAGCTCTCGTTCGCTCTCTCTCTCTCTCGTTCGCTCTCTCTCTTTCTCTATCCCCCTCTCTCTCATGCGTTCTTTCTCTCTCTCTCTATCCCTCTCTCTCTCGATCCCCCTCTCTCTCATGCGTTCTTTCTCTCCCGCTCTCTATCCCCTCTCTCTCTCTCTCTCTCTCTCGTGCTCTCTCTCTTTCTATCCCTCTCTCTCTCTCGTGCGTTCTTTCTTCTCTCTCTCTCTTGTGCTCTCTCTCTCTCTCTCTCTTGTGCGCTCTCTCTCTCTCGTTCGCTCTCTCTCTCTATATATATAACCTCCTCTCTCTCTCATGCGTTCTTTCTCTCTCTCTCTGTCTCTCGTGCGCTCTCTCTCTTTCTACCCCATCTCTCTCTCATGCGTTCTTTCTCTCTCTATCTCTCTCTCGTTCGCTCTCTCTCTCTCTCTATCCCCCTCTCTCTCTCTCGTTCGCTCTCTCTCTCTCTCTCTCTCTCGTGTGCTCTTTCTCTTCTTTCTCTCTCGTGCGCTCTCTCTCTCTCGTGCTCTCTCTCTCTCGTGCTTTCTCTCTCTCTCTCTCTCTCTCTCTCTCTGTATCAATACCCTTGGGAAAATTATCAATCCACTTACTCCCCCTTCGCAGTAAGATTTGTATCAGTCAGTTATGTGCCATGCGTGACACACGCTTAGGCAATCATGTATCTTTCGATATATGACTGACGAGGCAGATTTTTCGCCAGTAGGTAAAGATTTGTATTACTAAACCATTATATATATATATATATATATGTGTTTGTGTGCGTATTTCGATAGGAAAAGTATTATCTCGTTAGTAATTTGAAACATGTATATATATATATATATATATATATATATATATATATATATATATATCCTATATATATATATATATATATAATATATAACGAATATCTTACCACATAGTGGTAAGATATTCGTTAGAAAAATGATCGATCATAGCTCTCCACATCTTCCTATCTCTTACAGCTTCTATCCCTTACGGTCTCTGCCATAAATTTACTCGTTAATCTGAATGCAGGCTGTTTCTCTCTGCCTCCCTTCCCTTCGGATTGAGGAATCGGAGAGCCGAGTTCGAATTCCACTCAAATCCAATACATTCACTTACGTGCTAATACCCTTGGAAAAGGTATGAATCCTCTTCACCCCCCACCCCCAGGACAAACTGGGGTGGTAATTTGTCTAGGCAAAGTTAGCTCTGAAATTCAAAACCGGCCTGGAGAGGGTTGGGCTTTGTCAGGCTATCTTGCCCAAGAAACACCACTTCTACTGCGGTTGCAGTAACTGTGATCCTCCTACGACCCTGGGGAGTCACGGGATTCGTGATCGTGACTGCAGAACAAGAAGGTAATTCCACAAAGTGCGAGAGAAAAAAAAAATAACTGAGCATAGAACGGATAGTTAGAAATTTCACCTGTAAAATGATGAGACCTAGCTGCCAATCTAGTACTGCGCTCAAATTCCAAAGAGGAAAGATAATCAGAACAATTACAAAGAAAACATTTTACGACAGTCGGAAAATGACTGAAGCAGATATGCCAGGTCAGAACCGATAACATTGCAGATTCTTTGTATTTTTATCAATAACTAGCAGTAGAGCCCGGCGTTGCCCGGGGATGTAACAGTAAGAGATAGATCAAGTATCGACCATCATAAAGGCTGAAAAATAAAATTGACAAAGATTATTGTTTAAGGTTGACGGACATACATGTCTTAATTAGTTTTTTTTTTGTTTTGTTTTGTTTTGTTTTGTTTTTTTTGTTTTTTGTTTTCATGAATTGGTCAAACTCAAACAAAAACATTGTTTTTAATCGTTATGAGTCTCTACCGATTGAATAGAATTTTATTATAAACAATTGTCTTGTAAATGGAATTTTTAAAGCATTCTGAATGTAAAAATAAAAAAAAAAGTGTGCAAGACAATAAGAAACACTACCTGCCAAAAAAAAGTGAAGTTTTGTTGAAATCGGTTGAAAATGTAGGAAATCCGATCCCATATATAAACGAACACACACACACACACACACACAAACCACCAACCTGGGTTTTATAATAGGTATAACTCGATATGAGTTTTCCCCCTTTCATTAATGTCTCTTAATCATGTTTTCAAATTGATTTTGTGCAAAAACAATTGTGTTTTTCCAATTTGGGGCGCTGTCAGAACCACCGCAAAGTAATTTTACGCAGTTCTGTGAAGTTTTGTTGAAATCGGTTGAAAAATGTAGGAAATCCGATCCAATATATAAACGTACAGACACACACACACACACTCAATCTGCGTTTTATAATAAGTAAGCTATCTAAATATATAATATCTTTGAGAAAGAGATGGTAAATAAACTTCTTGATATAACAACTGTAATTTTTGTTTAGATATTAAAGTGAAACCTTTTCAGTATTCAGTTGTACTAGTTTCCTTCCTATAATAATTTTTGTCAAAATACTCCTCGTTGAAATCTATCGGAAAGGAACCGTTATATAACGACAGTCTTCGGCATTGTTTATTTGTTAGTTTTCCTAGATAAACCTAGCGTCGTCCATGTTTGATTTGCTTTCCAGATATATAACGCGAGTTAAAGCATTCGTTGAGAGTTGCTTCCTTATTTCGATTTCATATCTTCAAACTGATTTTTTTTTCTGTCAGTGTTTGTCGTTTGTTTGAACTGTTTCTTTCTGTACTTACATTACAGCTATTTAAAACATTCATTACTTGTGCTCACCTGTTTATTAACGAAAATAATTACTCAACACGCAGTTACAGTAAAAAAAAAATCTCTTAAACTAGCGAGTAAAACGATAGATACAGAGAACAGATCTTCTTGATAAGCCTGTGCCTTTCTTTTTTCGCCACTTTTCGTTCTGTGCCACGCATGCGCATGGAAACATGCATCAGAAACAAATATGGCTGCTGATATTGGAGCCTTAAGAAAAATATTCTTTATTTGAATATATCAGGTTGGAACGAGTGTTCTTTTCGATTTCTGTGGTGAAAATGTTGAACAACATTTATTCAAATATTGCCTTCTTACATTGTTTGGTAAGGTTATTAGGAATAATTTATATCATTTCATACAAATATTATTCATAATACAGTTTGGAACTCGCTTCTATGAGCGTCCCAACTAAAACTTACAATTCAAATTATAATTTATTGTGATGTTTAGGTGTTAAGGAAAATACAGAATTAAATTGAAATTTATAATTAACATTTTTTAAGTTGTTTAATTCGTATTTATTTTAATATTTTTTCAAATAAAATATAGACCTGAAAATGTGATATATTAGAAATTATTGTTGATTTATAGACAGATAGATAGATAGAGAGAGAGATAAAGAGATAGTGATAGGGGGATATAAATAGCTAGATATATATAGATACATAGCTAGATATGGCTAGCTAGCTAGCTAGATAGATAGATGTAGATAGCTATCTATCTATCTAGATATTAATTTAAATAGATAGATATTAATTTAAATAGATTAGTATATATATATATATATATATATATATATACATAATTATAGATAGATATGAATAAACTGATATAGGCAGATATGAATAAAATAAAATAGATACATAGATAGACGTGAATAAACTAGATAGACAGATAGATAGATAGATATAGCTAGTTATTTATCTAGATACATAGATAGAAAAGAAGAGATAATTTATACAAATATAAAATTTGTCACTTAACTGAGTTGTGTCACCTTCAGTATCCCGATACCATAATTTTGGAGACGGACACTCCAGCAATCACTCCGTCCACTCGACAGGGGATATAAGCAACTGACTGTTTCTTTTCTCCTTTTTCTTATATATATATATTATATATATATATATATATATATATATATATATATATATATATATATAATATCTAGGCAGTAACCTTTCTTTCCGTCGAACTTACCATTCAGCCATAATTCATCTGGCGAGACATGCTTGCTAAGCATTTCACCGCATAGAAGTGCTCTAATGACTTTCTGAGAGTAGTTTAGATGTGGCACAAGTTCGAAAGTATGGAGCACTCAATGATGATCTCACTCTCTATTCAGGCGTAATTGACTGAGTGAGACAAGCATGCCAACCATTACATCACGTCGAAGTGCCCCTTCTTCCATTTAAATGTTCAACTGCCGTTTTCCTTGTTTTATGTGTTTAATAAATAAACGACAAAAGGCGAACTTTCAAAACAAGTGCGTAACGCGTGTGAGGCCGGTCGAAATGAGATTCCTAAATACATCTTTCTAAAATTGATTATTAGAACGAAAAGCTTTCAGCTTATTGTTTAATGTACATAATTGAATCCCCGGCTAAATAATGGAACTTAATATAAATGCAAAGTAAATATAAACAACAATCGAACTATTGACAATATGTCGTCAGCAACAGAGAGACTTAAAGAATTTTCACTTCTGCAAAATACAAATTCGGTTTTCCTTAACACATGTTTTTCTTTTCAATCAGATATAACTCAAAATATATACTAGGAATTTTAAACACAATTTCATACAATAGCCGAATCTTAAAACATGCAAATATATATATATAGTGAGTTTCCAAGCGTAGCTTAGATGTGGCACAAGGCCGAAAGTATAGGGCACCCAGTGAAGATCGAACTCATTACTCAGGAATAATTGTTCTAGCGAGAAAAGTTTGTTAACCATTACACCGCCTCAAGGTACCCCAAAAAAGATTTTTTTAAACGTACCTTAGACGCGGCACGCCCAATACTTCCTTTGTTTGCTTTTTTTCACTTTACACTCATTTCTTTTTTTTCTTTTTTGCCTTATTCTTTTTTTTTTTAACTGTAGCCATTTTTTAGCATACAACAAAAACCAAACATCTATAAATAAAAAAAAGTAGAATTTAAGAGTCTGCATCCTCAAAAATCACCCCCCAAATAACAAAATCAAACATGCAGCCACAACACTTTCTGCCGACATCACTACACTCACCAGTTGTACAAAAGCTTCCATTTTTCTACCGACTCTTATGATGGCTGAAGTTGAAAACGTGGACCATATTTCTTCTGAAATAAACATGGGACAATTTCTGACGGAATATTCTTACCTGAGAAGGATTATTCATAATTTGGAAAAGTCGATCAATAAAATTAATATACACAAAATGTCTTGCCTTCAATAACATTTTCTGTCTAAATACACTTAATATTTGATACTAGATTGGCCAGAAATTTCTGACTTAATTAGGAACCTGAAAGAAAACAAATCTTGATCTGTCTGATAGAATTTCCAAGGAAAACCGCATTTCGAGCTTGTTCCACACGGTCTCGCCTTCAACGCTAAATTGTATTGCCAACAGACTTGAAGATAGACAGTGAAGATTGTATGCATTTAACACTCTATTTACATTATTCGAACTATTGTCATCATCTTTGTTTCCATACTTATCACAAAGTCTCGGCCGCTGTACGCTCTGGCCTTCTTCGGGTGGTTGGAATGTCGAACTGAACCCTTTATTTCCCTCGCTGGTGTAAACTGTTCTAGTTCCACATCTTGTGAGTTCAATATCTGGTTAAGGCAGTGGAGAACTTGGAGAGGTGAATTAACAGGAGATAACTGACATCCATTAGACATGCCACGTGGAACTAGAACAGTCTACCCCAGCGAGCGAAATAAAGGGCTCAGTTCGACTTCCCAACAACTCGAAGAAGGCCGGAGAGTACAACAGCCGAAACGTTGTGATAAATATGGAAACAAAGAATGATGACAATAGTCCGAATCATGTAAATAGAGTATTAAATGCATACTATCTCCACTGCATACAAAAGATAATTGAATATCCGAAAACACTAAAAAATACATTATTTGCTTTCAAAGTGTTTAACAAAGTAAAATAATTGCCTCAATGTGTTAATGAAGTAAGTGGTACTGTATTTTATCAGATTTCTCCTTGAAAGTGACACAGATATGATTTATCAATAAAACTGTCTTTTTGGTTTAATTAACGCGTCTCAGGTTTTTACCTTTTGACCAATAGAATCTCTCAGATCTTTTATCCAATAAAATTCCTTTTTTTTTCTATC